AGGTAGCACCGCCTAGGCTAAGTCTCCGAGTGAGACTGGGCGGTGCAACCGCCCCAGCCAGGAGGTGGCACCGCCTGGGCTCAGTCTCCGAGCGAGACTGGGCGGTGCAACCTCCCCTGACAGGAGGTGGCACCGCCTGAGCTCAGTCTTCGAGCTCTGCCAAGCGGTGCAACCGCCTCAGTCAGGAGGTGCAACCGCCTGAGCTCGGTCTTCGAGCTCTGGCAAGAGGTGCAACCGCCCCTGACAAGAGGTAGCACCGCCCAGAGGCTCAGTCTTCGAGCTCTGCCAGGCGGTGCAACCGCTCCAGTCAGGAGGAGCAACCGCCTGATCCCGGAATTCCGGGAATTGACAGTTTTGAGCTCCAAATTTGAACTGGGTTGGGGCCTATAAATACCCCACCCATTCAACACTGAAAGAGCATGAACTTACACCGAAATCTTGATCTTTTTCTGTGATTCTTAGAGCTCAAAATTGTTGTAAAGGCCAAAAGTTCTTCTCCCTCTGTTCTTCCAAGTTCTGAGTTGTAAAGAAGAGGAGAGAAATTTCTGTAAGGGTTATCTCCTAAGCCCGTCAAAAGGAGTGAAACTGTAAAAGGGTGGTTGGCCTTCGCCTATTGAAGGAAGGCCTCTAGTTGACGTCGGTGACCTCGTCGGTGGAGGAAGCCAAAAGTGGAGTAGGTCAAGATTGACCGAACCACTCTAAATCTCGGTTTGCATTTACTTTGAGCATATTATCTTTACTGCAAACCTCCTCTATAGCTTACTGCTTTCTGCGCATATACGATCCGGTTTCAAGCGTTGCACTTTCCGAATCAGCGTTTAGACGTAAAACTATTTTTTCGTACGATCATCATATTTCAGTTTGCGTTTACGTCTTTATTTCAATCATAACTGCAAACTGCCTTTATGTCCTTGCTTAAACTGCATCTAGCCTAATCAAGTGATTTACGAATCAGCATTTAGACGTAAATCAGCTTCTTCGTACGAACGTCGTATTTCAGTTTGCGCTTATATTTTGGTTTTCATCATAACTGCAAACTGCCTTCATAAGATTGATTTTAACGTCATCTCGCTTGATCTTAAGTTAAAGTAATCTTAGAATCGACTTTCACAACGAAATCGTTTTTATCGTTCGAACGTGTTTTATCGTTGAAAGATTTCCGCTGCACTAATTCACCCCCCCCCCCCTCCTTAGTGCTCTTGAACCTAACACTCATGTTTTTGATCAAACATCCATCATTCTGATTATGTTGCGGAAAAAAAAAAGGGGAACAGTGTCTTTGTTTGTCATATGTGTACTCTCGTCATATGTGCTTCTCTTGATTGACACGAGGAGCATTATTTGTGGATGGTTGTGATCATCACACAAGGAACATCTTAATCTTTCATTCTATTTCTTAATAGCTTTTGAATTGGATTACTCTAATGCACTCTATGGTTCTCATGCACCAATTCCTCTCAAGGGAGAGAAGTACAGAGGGTCACTAAAAGATGAAATAGACTGAATTATCATATCTATTCACGCAAAAGTTCCAAATTTCATACATACCTCTAAAGTTGCAAATTCGATAGACAAATTGAGGGTTCTTAGATTTTCTCAAGTGTCCTTCCATTTCAGTATATCCAATCTAACTATTTATTGACTAAATTTTGCTTATTATTTGTCTTCTGTCTTAGTCTAAGTGACCCATGACCTATTACCCCTCTTCTTCCCATTGTCTTCCTTTATACCAGCTCTGCCTCACTTTTTTATTTTCTTATTTTTTTTTCTGTTTTTACTATATGCTCAAATAGATAAGTATGGGAATGGGTGGAAGAATGGGAATGACAAGGATGAGTTCAAATACTTAAGAATTGAATCTATGTAATTTGATGGAGGCATGGACTTGTATAGATATCTTCAGTCTGTTGTATTATTTGCAACTTCTCAGGGAAAAATAAAGACATTTAACCTTTGTAGCATGTACATTCACAATTACTCCATTTGGAAAAACAAGCTTAGTCTGTCATCCTACTTGAAGGTGCATTTCCATTGTATATCTTAAAAAACTTGAAAATATTGAATGTTCCTAGATTTGAAGCTGCAGAGAATAATGTCAGTTATATCAAGAATGCTAGTTCAATGAATCCAGGAGAATAAATACTGCTTTCTCACCCCCGAGTATTTATCATCTTCAACGTTGCATTTGATTTGTAAATTTAATCCTTTTGACAGTTCCTGTTCACAAAGTATCTTAACTATGAAAAAGCCCATGGTGACGAAGACCGGGTTGAACACGTCAAGCGGAAGGCATTGGAATATGCCGACACTTACACAAGTTACAATCTATGTGCTGTTAATGTGGAGAAAGTCAACCGGATCCGTGACAAAGCTTTCCTGCAAGGTACTTGAGTTTCTTCACAACCTGCCTTTGTGGATTCAGCCAATTCTTTACCTGAAGAGTCTGCTATGAAGTTTGCAGTTGCAGCAGCCAGTTCACAAATGTAAATGTCTGCGAAGAAGGTATCCAGATCCCGTTGTGAATGGCAGTTGACAGAAATGTAATTTTTGATAGCAGCAAAGCCGCCGTATCAACTGTTTGAGATCTTATCTACATCCTGAGAGTTTCGTTTCTGGCAATTTGATTTCGAATTCTTCTGTAAATGCGGGAAGTGTACTTACGAGTTAATTCGTTAGCACGACAAACGTTTTAACATATTTATGTTCATTGTTTTATGGATGACATAATTGCCAGATAGAACATCTGTATGACTTCAAGTTCTACATGACTGTGGATCGATTCGGACTCGAGAACCTAAAAATTTCAACAGGAACTCCATTTTCGTACAAGACATCTCTTTGCACACTTTCTTCAACAGAAGACAAAAAAAAGGATGGTTGGCATGTGCATGCATTTCTTCCACCAGTGGTTTGTAATGATCTAGATTTGGTCAATGAAATAGACACCACATCGGATTACGTTGGCCATCAGGTTGAGGATTTCCAGTCGTGGAAGACGCCAATGGTCTCGCAAGATTAGGAAACCAACGGTGCTGTTTCAGGCGAATCTTATCTAGCTTTGCTTTCCTCCTACTTTTGCTGCTCCTGCAGGTACAGACGGAGAGCCAAAGAAATCCTCCGACAGCGCATAACATGCGGAAGTCGTACACACGTGGATTCTGCATGGAAACAAGCAGTGGTGGGCAGTCTTTATACGTCCAATCACTTTGAACACCTCCATAGCGATAGTGCCTGAAGTGCTGCAGCATCTTCTGCAACCAAAGCTTTGGAGCACAGTTCCCCTGTTCAAGGAACTCTATGAATATGATATATTATGGCTATAGGATTTGATTGGTCATTCTTCTTTTGCGCACAAAGATGGGTCAATTGTCTGTTCCATTGGCAGCATTACCTCCGTTCTGATTCTGTTGCTCTCTCTCATGGTGATTGTATCACGGCTGCAAATCTTAGAGATAGCAACGAATTAGATGCCTCTCTCTGTAAAGTGTGAGGCAACGAATAAGCTTTTCCTTTCTTCAGAATAGATAGATCACAGGGTAGCTTTACGTCAGATATACTGAAGATAGAAAAAGGGACACTAAGAGGCCTGTCTAAATACAGACTTAGAAATGACTTTGAAGCGTAGTTTTCATCACTCACAAACAAATATATATAATTTTAAGTCAAAGAAGAAGGTGCCACTATTAGCATGCAAATTGTCCATTTTATGTTACAGAGGGGAAACATTTGGAGTCATGTCTATTATGGTCAAACTGATTCAAATTATATTAAATCAGAAGACTGATTCGGTCCGGTGAAGATAAAATAGTAGTTTAAAAAACTATTATGTCTATAGTAGGTTGGATCTACCTAAATAAATAAATAAATTGGTTCAAAATCGATTAATCTGATTTAATTAACTGATTAATTAATTTTTAATTTTAAATAATTTTTTTAGAAAAATTGATTTTTAATTAAATCGATTTTAAATTATTTGATCAAACTGATATTTTTTTTAAAATTAAAATCGATTTAGTTTAGTCTGAACTGATTAACCAAACTGAAAAAAACCAAAATCATTTATATAGTGAGCTAAATCAAACTAATGAATCAGGAATTCATTTCGACCTCATCGTCGTACGATACCACTTGCCGAAAAAGCTGGTAAACCTCTTCTTCCTCACTTGATCTTCTACATTTATATTCTTGTGACCAACTCTCCACTTCCTATAAAGATGCGTATTAAGATAATGATGGCCAATGAGCTGTGTGACCTCTGAATCAAATCTAGTAGCCATATCATTTCCAAACCTATCAATAATAGATTAAACTTTCTCAATTGTACAACGCGCTCGGCATGTCTTTCGGGGACTTTTGTCTTGTGTTTGATTCCTTCTAATGTTTTCTATTGGTAATATGCTTATGTCTTCACGTTCAAGTGTACCTATAAATGTGGGTATGATCACAGGGAAGAAACAGGAGAGGACTTGAAGAAGAAGAAGAAGACATGGCGTGGTATTGGATCGGTTCATGTCTTATGATTGGCTCGACAGGACACGAGCCGAACCAATATCACTCGTGTATTCTTCATTCACCGTCTCCTTGAAGGTGTTCTCAGTAATGATCCATTTTTTTTCCTCTTCTCAACATGTACATATTTTTCTCTTGGAAATCAACTAGCAAAGGTTAATGATGCGTTCTCATGCTTTTTCTGAAGCTAATGAGATTCATCTTTTGTTTGGTTTTCCTACGACGACAAGGTAGCAGCTTTACATCACATACTCTATTCCCATCAACAACCATCCATGATTATAACCTTATTCATTCTCAAATGGTGTTTGTTGATTTCGGTGAATAAAATTTTTCGCCTTCCACAGATGGTGAGAAGCAGCATTTGAGCAAAGAAAGAGTTGGAGGCCAAAACTGCAGGTGTGCCTTTTGCCTCCCTATATCTTTGTATTATTTTTACTTGAAAAACATGTTCGGTATCCTAAAAAATATAGTTCATAAAGATCAATTGATAAATAGATGATGTTTATCTTCAAGAATAAAAAAATAAAATAAAATTGTTTTGACAATAACTATCGATCTATTATACAAATTGATGATTACATGATGTATGGTCTCAAAACTTTAAAAAAGTGAAAGTGTATGGGTGAGATAGTTAAATAAATATGATTGCCTTTGTAGTTATTTTGATTTGGCATAACTAAAAACTTCATGATATTTATTTAGACCTACATTAGTTGAAACAAAGAGAAAGAGGAGCAGGAAATTTAATTGAGAGTAGATGAGGCAAACTAAAAGAAGCCATGTCAGTAACATGAAGCTCGATTTACTTCAAAGTTTATGATGGCAAAATGCAATTTCTTCCTCTCGGCATCCTTAGAGACCATTCAATCTTAGAAATAGGAAATAATATTGTATAGAGTTTGATCTGGTATAGAAATAGGAAATTTTGCGTTTGAGTAGGATTAAATATTGATTTTGTTAGAAACCATCGAATATTTATTAAAAAAAATAAAACAAGAGTAGAGGAGAGATATTAGATGGAGAAAGTATCTAAAAACTCAAAAGTCTATTCAGCCTACTAATATATTGTTCTCTCTCTAAATTATATACCTCTCTTTTTTTCTTCTCTCTTCTTCAACTATTAGAACAGACCCTTATAAATAATAATAATAATAATAATAATAATAATAATAATAATAATAATAATAATAATAATAATGATAATAATAATAAACCCAAGCTGAATAATCCAAACACAATTGGGGAAAGATTTGACCGTCAACAACTATTAGAACAGACTTTATTATTCAATTGTCTTTTTAGGAATATGCTTTACATGAGTTGATTGAATTCTTGGACAAAATTAGAACTAAAGATCTCGAGTCCCATTTCAATAACGTAGAATATATTTTGGTGATCAAAATATTATTTCTAGTATATAATTTCCATCTATTTGTAGAAAGTCATGTCAATTTTTCTATAGTTACAATCGACAGTGTTGAGTTTCAAATCTGAGTTTAAAAGGTCAATTAGTAGATTTGCATTTATTGATTTTGAACTTCTCAAGAATCTTACTAACATACTTGTATAAGTCTCATAAAATTTCTGCATCTTTTTGCTTAATTTCATTGTCAAGATAATAAGCTCACAGCGCACAAATAGTCATTTTCATATCAGGATTGTTATTAGCATATATTAAATTATCTAATTATTAGCAATTATATGAGGGCAGATTTGAAGAAATGTGCTCCATTATGTTGCGCATAGAAATTTCTCAAAATCTGCAAATTCATTTCATAAACCACATCGTTATGACAGAGGAACGTTCCAGGGATCCATATCACTCTTCCCTAAGTTGAATTGAGGTTTTGAATTGGATCCATATCATATCACTCTTGCCTACGTTGTCATGAGGTTCTGAATTTTACATGAAAATAATGAGATCAAATTCTACTAAAGCTGAGATGGACCATGAGTCCGATTAGCATGGTCTTGAGGTATTGCTTCTCTACTAGAAGTAGGATCTAGGCTATCCCAATGTGCGTCTTAGCCTCCCCAAGGTCCTTGAACAAGGGTTAGCGTTGAGGGGATGTTTCCAACCCAACCTCTCCGATGGTAAAATTAGTTAGAAGGTGAGAGATAATAGATGTGCTTGCCCCTTTAGGCTTTGGAGCTGGTTTTTATACTTGAACGATTGATGGAGTATGACCAACGATCGGTCCAAGAGTCCCTTACGTTGTTCAGGAGCTCATTTATATTGAGGGCTTGTGAGCATGTTTCTTTAAGGGTGGCATAAGAGAAGGATAGCTACAAGAGCACCGTTTGTTAGGGTTGGAGCACATCTAGGATAAGTAGGGGATGGTCCCTTGTATTAGACGTTCGGATAGGGGGATTGGGCCATGTCAACTGGGATTAATGCTCTTTATAGCCAGGCATGTGAGCTTTCCCGTAATCATGGTTGGCGGGACTAACAAGCTTCTTGCGAAAGGGGGAAAAAGGGGGATGAGTCTTGCTGTCGGAGATCAATGCACCCTAAAGTCAGCTCAAGTAGTCCCATCGAAGATCAAGGTGGGCAAGGGCTAGAGGATCATGTTCCTACCGATGATTGCAAGGGAAAGGTGTGGGTTCTTTTGTGCATGTCTAGCGCCCAAATGGCAAACGACAGTTGGGTGGGTCAGTAGGGTGATGCTTATATTATTATTTTTCCTATCATTTGTCCCTCTAAAGAGCATACTTCGGAGCTCTAGAAAGATGATTCGAGGCACACCATTCGATTATTTTCATTTAGTCATGGTCGAGTTTCATGGTTTTTTGTGTTTTGGGCGCACCTCGTTCAGCATGCCTAGATGATGAGTCGGGGGGCTGTGTTTCATGATTTTTGCGTTTCAAGCATGCTTCATTTGGCATGTCTAAATGATGAGTCAGGGGTGAGGTTTCATGACTAGCTCACATTGGAAATACTATGACTAGTGATAGTGCAAGTCGCGTTTCCCGACCTATTCATTTGGGGCATGTGGCCACCGTAGTAGGTCTTGTTCCATCACAATGACTTCCAATATAATGGGCCTTTATTCATCAATCGAAGTGGGTTTAGGGCTCCACCGTTGTGGGTCTTGTTCTGCCATAGTGGCTTCCGTCGTAGCAAGCCTTCA